TTCTACAGTAGATTCCATCTCTAAACATTTCTGTTTTGTTTATTTTTTATTTTATACCGTACCTTTGTGTATTTGTTCTTTATCAATATGTACTGCGTCGTTGGGTTCATCAAGGCGCTTTATATAATAAAAAATCTATTGAGCAATAACATTCATATGATAATATTAATGTAATGGCTCAATAATAGTTCATATTATTATTACCCATGTCTGAAGTCCGTCACTTGTGCCTAGAGGAGATACATAAGCAAACTGCTAACAGCAGGACGGGCAGTGGGCATCTGTTTTGAATTAATACACGTTAAACAGCGGTTAAATTTCCTCCTCTTTCATTTGGTGTTCAGATAAAATCATGTTACAGTCTGCAGGACGGATCTAATTTTTACTTTAACCTTACTACTACTTCTAGCGCCAATTACAACGATAATACATACACACAACAAAAAGATCTGTAAAACAGCTAACAGCTTCTGTAACATTTTTCCACAAAGAAGTGATTAATGTCGCTCTTGACTTACACACGATACTGCATGCGCGATTTTCCAACGTCACCTCTCGACAGCAACACACCTGCGACATTTCTAAAATTGCTGCTGAATGTGAAAGAAACGAGCGATAATAATGAGACCAATGCCTTTCTTTAATTGCTGGGGTTTATAGAGCAATTGCTGCTATTCTAACATGACTACTCACATATTATATGAACCATTTTACTGAAAACACCTGAGACTAGTTTCAACTCTTCCTTTTAACTGAACAGCGCCACTGAATCACGTAATACAAAAAGCGTTAATATAAACGTGTTATATACTAGGCCGGTCAAATGTTTCATTGGTCATTCTCCAAGCATTACGTGAAAACAGGAGAACATCGTTCGTAATGATGAATGTGCACGATTTCAAAAACGGAGAATTAAGTTCATTTATTGCTTATCAATGTTTAGTCGTAGTGGTGTCAATTGTTACACCGCGAAAAACCAAGGACTGAGGCAGGCCACCAAACTGCCGTAAAGCTGTAACACCCCAAAAGCAAACAAAAAACACAGCTACAGCGTCGTAAACCCCAAATGGATGCTGTGTGCAACATAACATTAACGAATTAAAGTCTTTGACACACATAATCACACATTTTAGTCCTGATCTAAATCTGCTACACGCTGGAATCGGCTTGTAAACAGTCCACAGAATTCAAACAGGAGAAGAACCTGATGAGTATGGGTTGAAGTCACCTTTCTCAGCCCATTAAGCTTGAGGCCTAACTATTTTCTGCATGTCTCTAAGTCTGGTAGATCTTTTCCAATGTGAATATTTCGCACAGTCTTTTCAGGAAATTACCCGTCAGGTGGCACTGTGTGTGATCTGATGTACCTCTGTGTACATGAATATGATTTTTTTAAATGCTGTGTAATTTCAATTTATAAATAATACTGGGAAGACTGTTGTGTCTAAAGCTGCCATCATGGAGTCACGTTTAAGTGCAGATTCATCACCTGGGATTTTTTTCCCCAGCACTGCTTGAGTTTGAAATATGTT